GCTGGATTGTTTGTTTACCTTTGAGCCTGCTTAATTGTTTGTTTACCTTTGAGCCTGTTGGATCATTTGTTTGTTTACCTTTGAGCCTGCGGGCCAGTTCTCTGGTAAACAGCACGTTAGCTAGTTTACTCTGGCAGTACGCGAGGCCGCTGTTGTAGCTGCCCTGGCTGTGGAGGTCGTGGAAACGAATCCAGCCAAAGTTGTGAGCCAGAGAGGAGACCACGACGATGCGGGCCGGAGCGCTGCGCCTCAGCAGGCCAATCAGGAGGTACGTCAACAGGAAGTGACCTAGGAGAAACAAGACACCAGTCTTTGTTTGTGGTTTGGTCCAAAGAGAAGTTGAGCCAAAAATAAAACACAAGAACGAACTTGTAACAATTTAAATTTCTCCTTGAATGAATGCATATCGCTCACCACCTTTCACGCCCGAGTTTTGAACCAAGATCAGTGATGAGAAATAACGGCGCTGATATGGTCTAACCTAAAAACAAGATCCGGTGGTATTCTGGGATGTCTCATTAAGAGCATGTGTTGAGGATGACTCTCAGCTACTACCAGCAGCTATTAATATCTACAGAAACAGTTTATTTATATAAAAGTCCTTTTCTGTTTTATAAAGGCAGCTATTTTGCTAACAGACACACACAGGCAAAAACATTCTTGCCTTTTGGTGGTGGGCAATAACAAAAACTTATGACAGCTGACCGTTTTGCAGCAGAACAAATAATCCCAATAATCTGGTTAATCTGTCTTGTTTTATTCCAGCTTCAGGCAGAACACAGTCCTACCTAAATGGTTGACGCCCATGTGCATCTCGTAGCCATCCACAGTTTTGGTGTAGGGGCACATCATCACTCCAGCGTTGTTGATGAGGACGTGAAGATGGCTGACCTCTGATCAGAAAGAAAACGGCTTCAGTCACCGTCAGCTGTGAGGACGGAGATCCTGGATGAACTCACCTCTCAGGAGCCGCTGGGCGAACGCTTGGATGGAGCGGCTGTCGGCCAAGTCCAGCTCTCGAACCTCCACCTGAGCTTCGGAGTGTGCGGCTCGAATGCTCGCCGCTGCCTCCTCGCCCTTTTCCACGTCTCGGCACGCCATAATCACCCGAGCCCCTGAAATGAGAAACGGCGGCTAACGAGGCGGCAACGACTAAACCTGAACCGCATCGCTCCGAGGAAAGATAAAGATTCAGCGTTAAAGAGTTTTGATGCAACAAACGCCAAGAAAATAAAGAAGTTAGACCGTTTGAAACAGCTGTTTACAGCCAGCTACAATCTGAGTGTCTTTAACCTGAAAGCTAAAACAGCTAAAAGGTAGCTTAAAGCTAGGAAGTAGCAAAACTCTAGCTAGAAGCTATAGGTTTCTCATATAAGCTAAAACAGATCCAGGTGGATTTAAACGTTTAGAAGAAACTGAATCCATTACTGTGTGTGGAGGGGAAACATTCGAAAAGCTAAATAACTTTAAAGAGCCGGCGCAGCCACCTCCTGAAGGAGCCGAACATTTTGATGTATGAACAGCTAAAATACGACGTCTGCTGAAAAACTGATCCCAGCTGGACAAGAAGGTGGTTCTGATGGTTAAGATCCAAAAGAATCATTCAGAACCTCAGTTTACCACAGCATGGAGCTCTGTCATTCAGAGAGCCATGTCAACACCTCAGCTCCATCAGGAGACCATCTGGATCAATCTAAAAGAACTTTGAACCGGGTCAACAAGGGGCGGTTCTGATAAGGATTCTGAATCAATAGATCCTGGAGTTCTGATTGGGCCGAGTTCCTGACTGATAAATCAAGTGGGCTAATGTCAAGTTCATTTTTACTCCTTGCAGAAGAAAAAACAGGAAGTGAGGAGTTTCAATCTTAATCTGTGCTGTAAACATGTTTGTCTCTGACCCATTACAGCTGTTAGCCTCTGGCCCATTACAGCTGTTAGCCTCTGACCCATTACAGCTGTTAGCCTCTG